ACAACGTACTGTGGGACAGAACAAACCAGATCCCAGCGGAGGAGGAAATCAGGAAGAAGCGCTGGAAGTGGATAGGACACACATTGAGGAAATCACCCAACTGCGTCACAAGACAAGCCCTCACATGGAATCCTCAAGGCCAAAGGAAAAGAGGAAGACCAAAGAACACATTACGCCGAGAAATGGAAATAGACATGAAAAAGATGAACAAGAATTGGATGGAATTAGAAAAGGAGGCCCAGGACAGAGTGGGTTGGAGAATGCTGGTCGGCGGCCTATGCTCCATTGGGAGTAACAGGCGTAAGTAAGTAAGTAACTGTTGGGATCTATTTCTGGACCAATACTATACATATATTTTTATTGTATACTTGTTAACTAAACTATGAATATTCATGTTCCTCTTATTATAAGCTTTCGTTTGACCTATGATTCATGTCCAGTGTATCTATTACTATCTCTCACATTCATATCCACTTTTTCCTGAATCTTGTACAAATGCGTATTTTCTATTTTTATGGTATGATGCAGTCTGTTTGGTTGATATATATACACCCAGTATATTTGACATAAATGATTTCATATCACAATGGCTGTTCTTGATGTTCTCGACTCAACAGGCAGGGCTAGGCATGAAGCAAGACTGATAACTACTCTAGATTGCTCGTACAGGTTTTATGCATCATTGGTCCGGTTGATAAATTACTGTTCTCTAATTGACGATATCATTACATTATACATTAATAGGACACTGGGCACAAGTTATAATATAGATAGTCAATATAACTACCAGACTATTACATTATTATTATTATTACTAACGAATTCAATCAGACTTTATATAATTATAACTTCCAATCATATTCTACACTTTTTACATTTTCTCTCTTATTTATTCACCCTTTCATTACATCAGTCATACTTTTTTTATATTGAAATCATATACTATTTAAAGTGTTTTAATCTTTACTTTTATCGTTAACGCCTTCTATCTTTTTTCTTTTTGCTACTATAATGCATTAACACAATGTTATCCATGTATAATCATTATTTATCATGTCAGATTTAATTTCTTTTTTCATTATCTTAGTTTATTTACTTTTTTCTTTTTTTAATATTTATTTATTATCTCATCATCTGCTTCCATTAGAGAGGAAAGGAAAAAAATTAAATGTAGGATGTATATATACAACTGAATTGTAATGTATAATAATTTTGTTAATAGTAGTATTTATTAATATTAATGGTAGATAGGATAATTTATGATTGTTATTATATAGAAACATTAGTTGAAGGTAGATGAAGGTCTCTCTCTATATATATAGCACATTAGTTAAATCTTTTGTACCTTTGTTTTTCCAATAGCCAATATCAAAGAGTAATCGATTTTATGTATTATTTTAATGAGTAATATAGAATGAAGATATAGTGTGTTAGCTGGTTTTCGTATTTGTTGATTGTTGTCAATGCAAAATTATAGTTATGATATGTTGGTTACTTACTTACTTGCTTACATACTGTTCATTCTCGTGGAGAAGTTTAGGCCGACCACCATCACTCTCTATCCAACTTAATGTAAGACACTTCTTCATTGTAAGATGTGGTTTATATTAAATCATGAAATACAATTTTTCTACTCATTAAGATATAATAAAATTATATTTATTAATAAGTTTCTATTCAATACTCAATTTATTTTATAATTTTTGTGAGATTGTTGAGATTTTAGCAATTTTAGTAGTTGAACTCATATGTCAATTGAAGTTAGAACACCATGTAAAACCTGGAAGCATTGGATGGCTGTTTTGTTGTAGTATGGGACTTCTCAGTAATGCGCATCCATGATTTCACGCATGGAATCCGAACTCAGAAACTTAGGTCTCCCGCGCGAACGCTTAACTACTAAGCCGACCAGTATCTATCGGTATTGAAGTCTAACTTCAACCAATCCACGAAATTTCACAAACTGTAACCATTGGGTCCAGTGAGTAACTGCCCTACAACAGATACTGTTGAATTCCAATGACCACATTTTCCCACTAGAACTACAGGAAATATCTCTTGAAACCAGTCATTAGTGAGCACATGATGGTTATTATCAGATTGAGGGTTGAAGTAAGACATAAACACCGTTGGATGCCGGTCGGCTCAGTGGTCTAGAGGTTAAGTGTTCACGCGTGAGACCGGCAGGCACTGAGTTCGAATCATGCGTGCAGGATCGTGGATGCACACTGCTTATGAGTCCCACAATAGGATGAAACGGCCACTTAGTGCTTCCAGTGTTTTTATGGTATTCTAACTTCAATTGAATCATGAATTCAACTATTAAATTATTAGCAATTATTGTTACAAATGTCAGTTGTAAGACTAAGAGAATTATGTTTATCTGAATACATAAGTTTTCTCCAAAAATTTTAACATTATTAAAGTGGATAACATGTTAGTAAAAACAGTATCTAACCATTAATACTGATAACATATGATGTATAATACAGTTCACTAATCACTGAATTCCAACTAATTGTTCACTGCTCAATCATTTGAATATTTGACTTCATTTTTATGGTGTATAATCTTAGTTGAACAGTTTTTTTAGTCAGTCAGTCACCTGTAACATATATATATATATATATATATATATATATATATATATATATGCATTGATCCAAGTTGACACACAAGATGATCAACAAATTCATAGAATTAGCTACTTCAATGTTAGTAATATATAAAAGAAATATTATGTATACGAATATAATACAGAAGGAAAGATATGAAGCAATTTTAATTTCATGATTTAAGGGAAGAAAAAACATTGTGTATACACCGACGCCATTGTGATCGATTTTTAAGCCATATCATCTAGGATAATTGAATCTATTCTATACTCCTAATAATAGTTAATATAGATATATACATATATGTTTATGTAACCTAGATTAAAGAAATGTCCTTGTAATTATTGATTCTTTTGTTGTTGTCGTCGTCGTTGTAAATTATTCTTTCTTCGCTTTTTCTCTCTTCTAAATTATTCTTTTTCTTTTAAAATTATTATTGTTATATTACTTATTATTTACTAATAATTATGTTATTTCGATTTGTTCAACTCGTGTATGTATTTCTGTTTCCGCCATGTTTTTTTCTAAAAATAGAAAAGCAAAACAAAAAAAACAAGGTAGAGTTAGGTAATTAAATTTTGTTCAATAACTAGGTTAATATGATGTAAAATACAAATGATTATGTATTATTAGTTATATTGAAAAATATGTACATAATATTGAATAAGTAAACTATTATAACCATTGGTCATTAACCAGTACTCGGTCAATTCATTTCAGAAGTTAGTTTTTGTATTCAATTTAATAGTTGAGATCATGAGTCAATTGAAGGTGGACCACTATGGAAAACGCGGAAACACTGTATGACTGTTTTGTCTTATTGTGAGACCTCTCTGTAGCAATGCGTATCTAAAATCACGACTCGCGAGATTCGAACCCAGGACCTACCACTCTACTGACTCGTAAAGCAACCCAGAGAAATTTTGTTTTCCTTGGACAATTAGAAAGTTGATCCTTATTAAAAAAAATAATGGAAAATAAATAAGAATTAACCTTTTTATGGTGTTTTTACATGAATTGGGAAGTTTCTAACTGTCAGTAATCATTCTTCAAAGTTGAAGTTAAAAATACTGAATTGAAGGATTTAATTCATAGGGACCATAACTATACCGCTTGTCTGTTAGGTTTGACACTTTTTTCTACACTACTCTCTCTCTTTTAAATGAATGTTTCATGAATCTTTAGCATCCTACATCTTTGGGCTATAAATAGTGCTTCTCTTGTCAAGATTTCTGGACATAATATATACAATAATTATACTACGGCATAGTTATGAATTGGCCTGTATAAGTAATACTGTTTTCATTTTTTACTGATATTTATATGATCCAGTTGTTTGTTAAAGCCATTAGTTTTCCAAAAATCAATTAACGCTAGGCCACTATGGAAAATCTAGAATCTCGCGAGATCGATCATGGATGCGCACTGCTGAGGAGTACTGTACTGGGACGAAACGGTCGTCAAGTGCCTCCAGGATTCCTATGGTGGTCTAGCTCTAATTGACTCATGAATTCAACCATTAAATCAGATCAGTTATTCAGCTACAACGTAGGACCAGGCACATATGTGCATCAGTCCAAGTTGCCATACCTCATTAACACAAGATGAACACCGGATTCATACAAGTAGTTAATGCAGTGGTGGTAATATATAAAAGAAAGATTGCATTTAAGGACACAGTACAGGAAGAAAAACTGAATTGGTAGGAAGAAAGGTATGAAGTGATTTTAATTTCATAGTTTAAAGGAAAACAAAGTGTGTATATACCTACGCTATTGTGATCGATTTTGAGCCATGTCACCAAGAGTCTCCAACCATTGGTTACGATAGTCACGTGGACCAACGTGGCATATACTAGAGGTTAGTGACTTCAAGCACTGATGCCACGTTTTGGTTTGTTTGCTCCTGACTTTCTTCCAACCATCCCCAACACTAGTCAGTATTGTGTTCAGGCATACGGAACATGTGGCCCATCCTTCTCAGTCTATAAATATTCACAACTTTATCAACTGATTTACCAACATTCCCTAATGAAGTGCATCTAACGTCACTATTACTTACCCGATAATCCCATCAAATCTGAGCAATATTTTTAAGACATCTGTGGTCAAATACTAGTAGGTTACGAATATCTTGAACTACTAATATCCAGGTTTCACAGCCGTAATGTGAAACAAAACGAACTGTCGCGCAGTATATTCTAAATCATATCAGTTTAAGAATAAAGGGTTTGACTTTTTTTAATACATAATATTGCAAAAGGCCTCTATTTATAATACATTCTGTCTCTTAGCTTATATACTTATACATTGATTAAAGATATATATGTATATATATATAGGCATTTCTTTGATTACATAATCTTCCATATATTTTTTATCATAGGTACTTCAGTCACTTGTCATTTGTTTCCCTGTTGTGGATAAACATTTCACACAATTCTATTGGGATATATTAGATAATCGTTATAAATTAAAAAAATCAAAATCAAATCATTTTCCTGCTGTAAAAATGAACATTACAAAATCGGGTAGGTATTAAAAATTTCCATTTTATTTGATCAATAAATTTGATCTTATTTAAAAGTAATCAATTTCAGTATTTATTGTGAATATAATTGTAACCTGTGATCTGAATCTAACTAGATCGTATGATTGATTGTTATTGAAATATACATATTTCGGCTTATCCCTTTACATAATTATCGAATTAGATCGTGTTAGTAAATAACGGAATTAAATTAATCAAATACGAGAATAAAGTTCTTTATATGTATACTTCATACACTCATTGATCTGAACAGGAAATCAGAACCACAAAGCGAAACAAGTGAAAAGAGAATGTAGTGAAACGACGCTCAGTGGAGAAAGCATGTGAGCCAACTCCATTTAATCAACCCTTAATTGATATTTATAACCAGATAAAAATAGATTACAGATATGTTATGAATAAGAAGTGTACGCACATATATACGGTCATATAACAACAGTCAAGATTGATAAATGAATAATTAACAAGGTCAAAACGTGACTACTCAAGAAGAATGGATAAATTGTTTTCACTTGGTTTTGTTTACTTGTATCTTCCCAGGTGGCTATCAAGACTCAGTAGCTAAGTGGATAACACGATGGCACTTGAAGCGAACGGTACTGGGTTCGACTCTCAGAGTGAACATCAATTCTGAGATGCAGTTACATCCTGAACAGGACGAAACGCGTGTCCTGAATTCTGTTGCTAGCCACTATCCTTCTATGGATAAATTGGTCTGTCCAGAAACTAGAATAAGCTACGTGGGCTTAACATAGTAACTGACACTACAACATGTTCTTGGTTAAATACTATCATAAACTTTCTAGCCTGAATCTTGATAGCATGTTAGTATTTCCGTATGCGATGATAGAAATTTATAATCTTAAACTTTACTGTTTGTTTTACAAATTGTTCAGTTAATATATTTTTAATGAAGGAGTTCGTTGTTTGATTATATCTGACACTGATGAAACGTATTGATGAGGTCTCCTAAGGAGAAATGATAATTGGTTCCTCGTAGTTGTTAGCATACCTACAAAAGTCTCCCACTTTTTGTTAAATAGAGATGTGCTTCTACTCTAGAATTTCAAAACAATAGAGATTTACAGTTTAGCTTGATGCTTATAGTAAATGTGCATTCGCCTACTTAGATACATTAAGTACAGAGTTTTTATTGTTATTCTAAACAAAGTCACCAACATCTACTTCAGAAACACAACAAGATCAAAATGAGATGTTGAATATATATTCAGTTGACTTAAGTTGACAAAACAATATCAAAGTTAAACTAGATGGTAATGAGAAAGTAGTTAAATTAAGAAAATGCATTTTAAACTATTAGTCAATGTGATAAAAAAAATTTTTCACTCCAGACTGACTTTTAATCATTTTGGAACATGGTTTAAATGATCTAAATAGAGCAAGAACAAACATTGATGCAGAATAGTATGAATTCATATTATTTCGAGGTTTCTCGTCAGCTGCTTACAAACCAAAATTGTGATAGAATTTTTTACATGGAGATAGTGTGAAAAAAATAGTGTGAAAAATTCTATCACAAGTTTGGTTTGTAAGCAGCTGACGAGAAACCTCGAAATAATATGAATTCATACTATTTTGCATCAATGTTTGTTCTTGCTCCATTTAAATTCATAAAGGAAACCAATTGCATTAAATGATCTAAATGAACAATTTAGTGAGACTGTAATTTAAGGAGGGCATTTGAGTGACGCTAAACTGAACTTGAGAGTGTCCACCTAATAAGCAGGACCAGGAGGATTATAAACCTGTGTGAGGAATTACAATTATGATTTACAGTTGATGATCAAGGTTAGAAATTAGATTTAGGGAGTTTTCATCACGAATTGACATCAGCTATAATGCCAAAAGTTTATTTGTCCAAATGGATAAATAAACTCCGTGCCAAAATCCAAGACCTGTTATCTTATACGTGATGGATTCGTCCATAAATAAGTCTCGCCGACAATTTACTCTGTTATTCGATCAGTTAGTATTTTGTTATTCTACGTTTACTTGAGTATTATCGAATATAACGAGTTATATATATTTGCTTAATGATAATAATTCTCAGTTAAAAGCTAAATGTAATCAGGTTGTCGGCTGAAAGTCCTACTAGGCTTAAATTTCGTGTCATTAGGTCTTCAACATCAAGCTCCACTTGTAATCTTAAAGAAATTAATTCTCAATATTTCCGTGAATCAATCAGATGTAAATTATAGAGAGTAGTAATTGTATTATCACTACAGTAGTGCATTAATATCACTGTGTAATTTTAAAAAATTACACAACGTTTCTTGATAAGGCTAACAATTCCCTCGTAATTTGCTTCGGAAGCGTTCATACAACTGTCTTCAGTTTGATGGATTATTAAATACCAATGTTTTACTAAGAGTTTATGTATTTGTATCAGAAAGGGTTTTGTTGATATTATGGTGATTTTAATAGTTGAGATCATAAGTTATTTGGAGCTACACCACCTTGGAAAACCTGGAAGAACTGGACGGCCGTTTCATCCTTTTGTGGGACTCCTCCGCGACAATGTGCATACAAATCCCAACTCGCGAGATTCGAACCCAGGACCTACCAGAGTACTGCGCGAATGATTTACCATTAGACCACTGTGGTGGCCGGCATCCAACGTGTTAATGTCCAATTTTAACTAATCCACAAAATCGCGTGACACATCCACGATTGTCATCAATGAGTTTTTATTTCACGACATACTCAGTTGAACTCAACTGGTCATTACTTCTCACTAGAACTCCAGGAAATACCTCTTGTGAAGACAGTCACAAGTGAGCACAGGTTTCTTCATATCAGAACGGGTTTTTGTGGATATTATAGCAATTTCAATGGTTGATATTATATATTTTAAATTATAGATACTAATATAGAGAATTTTTTTATTTTTAAAATTATTTATGTCATTAACCAGTTATATTATGTGTTAACTTTTGAAATTATCTTTTTCTTTAATCAAGGTGGTACTACACGTTCAGAATCTTGTTCATTTATGATTTATTCTAAATCAGCTTATTCAACTCGTTTAATAAATGCTGCTGGACGTCTTTTCTGTTTAAAGAATTCTAGTCACAATAATATTACCATTAATAATAATACCAATAATAATAATGTTGTCAATGATGTACAAACATCACCGCCAACATCAATTACATCATCAGTGAAACATTTTTGTTTTCCATTAAAAGATTCAACACGTCAACTGCAAAAATCAAAACAATATTTATCAATACATCGTGAAGCATCCATAGAGTCATCATTCTATCAAAATACCAATGAAACTAATAATCAAAATAAACAGAAAGAAACAATCATTGATCAACCTGTTGATGTATCACTTGTATCGTTTACCGATGTAAGTTGATTTTTTTAAAAAATTAAGGTAACAAATGCACAAAATCCCATTATACAGAATATTTTTTATTGGCATTAACTATCGGCATAGAAGTCAGCTGATAAAGCTTTAATGAATTAAACTAAGATAATACTGTCGATCCATGAACAAATTGTGGTGTCTGGTACTATGTCAAGATCACATAGTTTATTCTAGCTTCTGAACAGACTATACTATTCATTCTTTTCAAGCGACATTTTGATCTTGTTACTTCACTTGTTAACCGTGACTGTTTTTATGTGATCCTATATGAGTTAATAACTCACCCTATTCATTATGGGTCTGTAATTTATTTGTCTTAATATAATTATTGAGTTACGCTTGATTCAATCGAGTTGGCTCATTCACATTCTCCATTGAGCATCATTTTGCTTCGCTTTGCTTTCTCCTATTCGCTTCGTTTCCCTATCTGTCCAGACAGACAGGATGTACGTACGTACATCAGTTCGAGTTGCCACACCAAATTAGCACAGAGATGCAGTTCTCGATTCAAATACCATAGTGGTCGAGGTAGTAAGAGTATAAGCAGTAATCGGAAAGATTAGGGTTTGAAGATGTTATTCAAGGAGTATAATCGAGTGAAATAAATTTGGAAAGAGAAGAAAATAAAGGGACATGACGAATTCAGAAGATTATAATTTGGGAGAACATGAAGAATGGATGCACCCACGGTTTTGAGCCATTTGTCATTCAGGGTCTCTAACCATCAGTTGCTATCATCTCGCGGTCCTCAACCGGGTAGTCTACACCTAAGAGCATAGCTCAGTCCACTTGTCAGTGACTTCATGGATTTGTGTCATGCTTTGGTCTGGCCGCTCCTAGCTTTCTTCCAACCTACTCCTACACCATTAAACATCGTACATTGGGGAATTCGGTGGTTGGACATACGTAACACGTGTCCCAGCTATCTCAACTGATTAAGTTTCACTTCATCAATTGACTTGCCATCCTTACCTAGTGCTCGTTTCCTAACTGCGACATTACTTGCTCGGTAGTTCCAAGATATACGAGAAGATACCTATGATCGAATACTAGTGTCCATATCAATGAGTAAACGAAACATACGTACTCAAACTTCATTCTCGTATTTAACTTATTTTATTCCGTTATTCTCTAACGTGAACTAAATCGTCAATTATATACGAGGATAGCTGGCATATATATTTTAATTGCAATCATTCATACAATCAATTTGGAGTCAGGTATAAGTCCAATAAAGTATTTTAGTGTAAATAGTATTGATAGATATGGACTATCTGATTGGGTTGTAAACAATAATCATAACAATTGTTCCTAACTAATTGTCATAGAGGCCGAGTTGTGTTCACTCTCTGTTTGGTTTTTTCTCAACATTAATTAATTCCCTCTTTTCGAAAAACTATCATGTGTTTTTGGACTTTTTCTAACTCCGTAAACACGATATTAATTTTAACTTCTCTGTTATTCATCTTACTTAATTCATGTTGTTGATGTGTTCTGGTATGAAAAAAAGTCGATAGACATTCAAGTCATCTTTATGGAAAATGTATAATTTAATCTTCTGTTGATGCTTTTCACAAATAAAAAGTAATCTTATAAAATAAAAACTAAGTTGGGTATACGAACTTCTAGATAAGAATGAATTTGTAATCGTCAATCATGAACTAAATTTAAATACATAACTAATGAAAATCAGGAAGTACTAAACACTTTCATCTTTCTCTTGGATTGCTTAGTAGTATACATTGATAATTTGGTCAGATGTCAGTCAATCAGGAACAACGTAGAACTTCGTACGTACGTACATCAGTTCGAGTTGCCACACCACATTAGCACAGAGATGCAGTTCTCGATTCAAATACCATAGTGGTCGAGGTAGTAAGAGTATAAGCAGTAATCGGAAAGATTAGGGTTTGAAGATGTTATTCAAGGAGTATAATCGAGTGAAATAAATTTGGAAAGAGAAGAAAATAAAGGGACATGACGAATTCAGAAGATTATAATTTGGGAGAACATGAAGAATGGATGCACCCACGGTTTTGAGCCATTTGTCATTCAGGGTCTCTAACCATCAGTTGCTATCATCTCGCGGTCCTCAACCGGGTAGTCTACACCTATCAACATGACTCAGTCCACTTGTCAGTGACTTCATGGACTTGTGCCATGTTTTGGTCTGGCCGCCCCTAGCTTTCTTCCAACCTACTCCTATACCACTGAACATCGCACGTCGGGTCAGTCGGTGGTTGGACATACGTAACACGTGTCCCAGCCATCTCAACTAATGAAGTTACACTACTTCACCAATTGATTTACCATCCTTACCTATTACTCGTTTCCTAACAACTGCATTACTTACTCGATAGTCCCAGGATATACGAGCAATGTTTCGAAGACACCTATGATCGAATACTAGTAACCTACGAATATCCTCTACTCTTACCGGCCATGTTTCACTGCCATAAAGTAGAAGGGGACGAACTGCTGCGCAGTAAACACATCCTTTGGTTGATAGACGGATATCTCGCCTACGCCATAAATGACGCAAGTTGGTAAAAGCGGGTCGAGCCTTCTGTATCCGTGCTGAGATTTTGTTACACACCAGACCCCAAGGGCTGATGAGGCTTCCAAGATAAGTAAAGCGATCGACACGTTCAATTACTTCACTCCCTATCATTAGTTTGGGTGTCAATGCAACCCAATCCTGAAGTAACATTTTGCATTTCGAGGGAGAGAATCGCATCTTGAACATGCTCGCATTGTTGCTTAGAGTGGTCAGAAGACTCTGCATTTTGTCAGCGTCTTCGCCAAATAAAACTACGTCAGATGTCGAACCTGTGACTTCAATACTTTGCGACGAACTATCATAATCGTCAAAAGTTTGGATGTGGTGATTTGTTCAAATTGATATCTATCCATAGATATAGAATTTAAAAACAACCGAGAGATATGAGGGTCATTTACTCATAGAGTCTCGTACTAGGACCTAACACCTATCCTGTCCTTAATGCTTTTCAATGGTTGCTATTAATAATAATAACTAACAGCAATAATAATAAGATCGGTCCGTAATGTGAACTAGAATATTCAACAGTATTCACAACCTCCCATAGTAAACAATCACCATGTGTTTACTAGTCGCTAACTTCAATAGGCAATTCCTGACACTTGGACCGATTGAAGTTAATAGTGTAAACGATCCAACATCAGCCCTGTGTTCTGAAGGTAATATCTAACAGTCTCTCTTTAATACACTTAATTGAAATTTCGAATACTGGATGAATAATGCATCTGCCGTGTTAGAATTTTAGAGCATGAACTTTTCGGAATTTTTAAAATGCATTTTGTAACTAATATTAAAGGATTGACCTGAGGCTGAATTTAATACATTTTGGTGAATTGAAGACGTAACTGATCTAGGCTTTTTGCTATGTACTGCTGAAAGTTTTTAATTCTTAGGATTTGTGTTAAGGATTCCAACTGCCAAATCTCTTTTGTCAAATATGCATTTTGAAGAGATTGCCTTGATATTACCATATATCCTTGAGTGTTTATTAATGTTGGATTGAGGCTAGAAGTGAAATTTATTTTATTTCTAACCTAGTAACTAAATATACCTATTTCCCAATGTCATAATATTTTGTGATATTATGTAATGGTATGCTCTCCGATTCAGTCACTTGAAACTTTAATAACGGCTGGTCAACACAATTACATGCCAAATAGAGACCAATATATGTATTCACAAAAGTTGAATAATAATGGCTACATAATTTTTGTCTAAATGAACAGATTGATTGAAAAAAAAACATATAAGTTGTAATTTTGATCAGATGAATAAACCCTTTATAATAACTCGCTCACTTAATCAAATTTTTTGAAAAGAGATGCCTAACACATTATATGAACTTGTCTTATTTGTGACCGAATAAATTTTATGTATTCATAGTTAGCTAGTTTGTATCGGATAACTACTATTTTACCATTAACTTAGGACTTACATACCAATGCGCAGATCTAATCATCAATAGAATACTAACCTCAGAAGGAGTTTTGTGGATATTATAGTAATTTTAATAGTTGGGATCACGAGTTATTTGACGCCAGACCACCATGGAAAATCTGGGAGTACTGGACGGCCGTTTCATCTTATTATAGAACTCCTTCGTGGCAGTGCGCATCCACAATCCCGACTCGCGAGCTTTGAACTCAAGGCCGGCATCCAACGGTGTTGTTTTCTAATTTGAACTAATCCACGAAATTGAGTGAGACATCCATTGTTGTCGTCAGTGAGTTACTATCTCTCAATAGACCTGGTCGAACTCCACTGGTCATTGCTTCTCACTAGAACTCCAGAAAATACCTCTTGTGGAGCCAATCACCAATGAGACTGATGTCGATCTTTCTTCAATGGACTCATGATTTCAACTATTAAGAATACAAACCATATAACATCCTAATTCGTAAATCCCTGAAAAATTCCCATTATATTGTATGAACGAAGAGTATTCTTTTCAATAAATAATAACAATAACTAATAAGAATAATTCATTATTAATCCATAATCTAGATTTATAATTGTAGAAGCTGATGAGAAATTATTGAAAAGAATATTCTTCGTTCATACAATTGTGTTTTAATTCGTAGATCTCCATGACGTTATTATGTCTTTTAATGAAATGTCTGACTTATGTAAGTACTTAGTTGTTGATAGAACAGAACGGCCTCCACAAAACAACACTCTCCCCTCTCCTGATTGGCAGCGCCACCAAATGCAGTGAACAAACCACGGGTGGGAACAACCGAATGTATTTAAGCACAAAATTACAGAGCATCTTAATAAAATCAAACAATCATATAGTAAATGCTTAATTTGCAAAATGTCCACCAATTGTCTCAAAATGACTCAGACTTCATTGTTCTTGCATTTTCATACAAATTGCATTGTGTTTCCATTCTTTACTGTTCGATCCTCTTGTCTATTTGCTACCAGACATTCTATTCACGACTAACACATATACTACTTATTTCGATTTGAGTAGCACATACAGCACCATAGTAATCTTTTGAACATTTTATGAACATTCCTTGTTGTTTTTTCTTCTTTTGTTTTGTTTAATTTAGTCATCAGAATGTAACAAAAGAACTAAATGTAAAGATGTAAAATTTTCATCATATTCTAAAGTCAATGTACATAATGAATTAGATAATCATATAACAAATGAAATGAATACAAATTTCTATTCTAACCCTATCAATCTTCGACGTAATCAATCACGCTATCGTTCATTACGTCGTAGACAAATGGAAAATTTAACAAAACGTGCTGAATGGTTTTTACAACCAACTATATTACCTAAATTAACATTTACATTAAATCAATTCAATAATAATAATGATACAAATACAACTATGTCTACAATATCATTATTAAATATACAAGATAAAATTAATAATACAATGACAAATAATCATTCTAATATGATACAAGTTGTTCATCCAAGAATATTATTCACTTCATCAACAAGTGATTTATTGATTCCATCGAATTATGACCACCTAGATACAATATATTGTCGTCAACCCTATGATGAAACATTATTAGATCATCAAAAAATCAATCCAACTCATTTATATCCATCCTACAATTATGGTCATAGTTTTAATAGTTTATTAAATCATTCATTATTATCAACAACATCATCACCATCATCTAATTATTATGTTATATCACAATCAAATCAATTATATTCATCGCAATTAAATCAAGAAAATCATACAATCAATTCATTACGTATACCGAATTTATCATCAGAAGAGAATAATACTTCAACTCATTCATTTCTATATTATAATATACCTAAATATTCATTATCATATCATAATGATTATGATCATATCAATAAACCTGATCGTTTACAATCAACGAGTTATGATAATTTTCATATTCTATCCTATTCATCTAATCATAATATACATGAAAATAATAATATCAATCTAATAAATGATTGTAATATAACACCTACTAATATATCTTCTATATCGAATACGAATTATACCAATTCAACAAATCTTTCATTCAATGTTAAAAATGAATTACGTCATAATAATAATAAATTAACATCATCTATCTCAGGTTTAGATATTATTAAAAAATCAAATATGATTTATTCTGATTGGTCCATTGATCGACCAATCAAAAATGAACTTTCAAATCGTTATCGTCCACGTAGTCATAGTATTAGTAATAGTAATAGTAGTAGTCGTCATAGTAATAATGTAACTAAATTAAAATAATCTACAATAATACCATCATAAAATGAATTTAATAATAAATAGATAAATACAAAATATAAATTATAAACTAGTTGATTGTTTTTTCTCTTTACTCATTTATTTTATTCTTTAGTTACTTTTGTATACAAATAGATTAAATATTATTGGCTCAGTCAATAATATTTTAATGCTTTAACAATACAAAATGTCTCTTTCCCTCTATCTCGTTCTATATATATATATATATATATATATATATATATATATATATATTTCAGGGAAATGCAAAATACTCATTACATATATACTTAGTGCTAATATCACACAAGTATATGATTCTAATTTTGTAATGAGTTCATTGAATTGAACATTTAATACAAAACAAACAAACATGACTGGCATTTATTTTGATTGAATGTGTACTATTTATTTATTTACTTGTAATTTTAAATGTATTTTAAAATTTTTCATGGGTACAATATTTTAAAAAAAGTACAACAACAACAAAAAATGACGGTCATCGAAAATCTTGCATTTTTATAATAGAAGAAAAACTCACACACACACAAGCACACACACACATTGATGAATAGTATACGAATGCATTTTTCGATTTTTCTAAATGATCTCAATATGACACATTAAAAAATGAATAAATAAAACAACATGTGTATACTTTCCATGAAAATAAGTCTCATTGTGATTTTCGTTTCTTTTTTTGTAATTTTATTTTAATGTTTTCTTTACCTTAATAATCATGAATAAATCAAACGTGCGTGCATGTGTGTGTGTAGTACAAGTTGATGTGAGTATACATGTGCAATTGTAATTGTTTCATCAAAATTTCTTGCTTATACCCTGTTTTCAAAATTTCAATGAAGTCAAAAGAAGAAAAAAGCAACTATTACGTCATTATATTTTCAAATTGTTTACTTTTTAATTTTTGTTTTCATGAATGTTTTTTGTGTGTTCTATTCATTAATATGTTTTTTTATTTATTTTTATTTATTTCGTGTGTGGAAATTTTTTTCAATTCTCAATGATTACTTTTATGCTACATTTTTTGTGGTTAATCTGTAATAAAACAATAAAAACATACCGTGTGTATGCAAAAAAAAAGAAAAAGGAAAAAAGGAACATTTAGCATACTTTTTTTCTTTTTTTGTTTTCTTTTTTTCTAAAGTAAATAAATAAAGTTCACTTAACTGATTGTTAGATTTTATTATTCATCATTTTCCTTAATTGTTTATGTAATTTTTAAAGTAAATAAGTTTGTTTCGCTGATTTAAATCATTTGTATTGGTCAACTAACAACTTTTATTGAAAAAAAAGAAACAAGAAAGAAAGAGATCCGATGTAACTTGTAATTGTAGTATTGAATCATTGAATAATTGATTATTTATAACATGATCAAGATCATTGCAATATCTATTCAAGGTATGAAGGATTGTTCTTATTGAGTTGCTTGTATATATCGTGTTAAGATATTTGTCTTCATGAAATATCTAAGAAATAAACTGATTTGGCAATAATCATGACAATTTGAAAGTATAAATGGAAAGCTTAAATGATATCAATTTTTGTGATCGATAACACAATCGCTGAACATCAGTGATTTTAGGTACATTAGCTTCATATGGGGACGAAAATCTGCTGGTAAGGTTATGTATAACTGATCTCATACAACCTTTTCTTCTGTTATGACAAAGTAGCATATCTTACTGTTGTTATATCTTAGTATAATTGACAGTATCACTTACCGTCAGATTATAAGTTTTCTTCTTTTTATCTATTCATTAATCAACTAACCTGCATAGTATAGTAGTAAATGAAGGAACAAATTTTCAAAACACTATGTCTCATTGAAGTTGCTATGATATACTTTTAATTTGTGAACATTTTCACTTGTTGTAGTACGTTGTTAGTTTGATTTTATCAATGGAATCCTCCATACTATTAGAAAACAAGATATTTTCTTGAATCATGTTTATCTTCATTAACCTCAAAACTAACATACTGTCAAATTATCATTGCGTAGATGAATAATTTAATGATTTATAAAATAACCCAAAAATAATTGCATCTCATTTACCGTTTGATCTTAGAAGATCAAAAAAGATCTAATTCAGTTTTATCCACCATGTCAGAAATATTGTTAAATATCTTATACTTATCTACTTACTCTTTTTACCCTTCGTGGAGGTTCATAGGCTATCAACCAGCACTGTCCATCCCACTCTGTCCTGGACAATCTTTTCCAGTTGCTATTCATCCTTTTCATATCTGCTTCCAACTCCCGACGTAGTATGTTCTTCGGCTTTCATCTTTTCCGCTTCCCTCCAGGATTTCAAGTTGGGGCTTGCTTCATGATGTAGTTTGCTGATTTCTTCACTGTAAATCTTATTTATTAACAACGTCTTTTCCTAACTTCCTGTTTAGATGGAAGTTGGTTTGTTCTGTCTTACAGAAGGCTGTTGCTGATGATACCCGACCAACGGATAAATATCTGATACTTAACACAGAAGTTAATTCTCTGAATATATATATATATATATATATATATATATATATATATATATATATATACTTATATCGGTATAAGTAGTATATAACGCGAATCAGCAATAGAATTTCTGGCAGAAGAAAATTGAGAAGATCAAGAAGGGAAGAACGTGAAAAATGCAGGAATAGTGAAGTCTGAGACGATTGACTGATATTTGCAAAAGGAACAGTCAAGTTTGAGACAATTGATTGATATTTTGTAAATTAACTATTTACTGTATGGTTCTCAGACTTTACTAAGATGTGCTGTAATTTTGTGCACAATACGTACGATTGTCCCCACTCGTGTTCCTTGTTCGCTACAATAGTACCAACATATAAGTGAGATTCCAAATATTAAGAGTTTATAACTAAGAGATTACATTTAGCTGAAAGTGCGATTGTGAAGCAACTAACTGTCAGACTTATCGTGTAGATAGGTGCAGAATGAGTGGTTGATGTTATATCCTAGTGGAGATTAAATTACGGGTTACTTCCTAGAACTATTAATGGACTAGTATTATCTATATATTCTTATCGTATAACTATTCAGTAACTAGATTATATACATCTATATTTCCTTTATTATAAACTTCATTTTAACTTATCGACTATTATTATAAGATTTACTGTTCTTTAATTATGTTCACTTTGTTAATTACCGTCTCCCACAGTCTTAGCCACTTTTTGGCTTTATTTTGTATAAATGTTATTTCCTATTTTATGGTGCGATGCGGTCAGCTTGGCTGTTATATGAGCCAATTATGTCTGAAATAATTGATTCGCATAGTGGAGTCTGTTATTGGTATTCTGGACTAAAGTGGTTGGGCTAGGCGAGCAACGGACCAATAGGATGCTAGGCTGATCAAAACCACTGAACGTCACTGGTTTAGTACAGTACAAGAGTGAATAAGCCGTATTTCGATTGGCGAATAAATCAAGTGATAACTAGCTGGACTTAAAGTAGCAACAGTTAGAGTTTGCATGAGTGTTGTAACTAACGATTGGAAACTTTAGGTGACATCCCTACGAATACGTTTAAATGATTCAGGTGGATTCATTCTAGTTTTCTTTATATCCCCAGTTTTGAAGATATCATATATATCATCTACCCTATAAATCAATTCTTTCTTCCTGAAGAATATCGTGTATAGTTTATAATTTCTATCATTATTATTATTTACATCACTACTACTACTGCTACTAATTCTGTTACTCTAGAGTTTATCTACATGATTTTGTGTTATAGTACATTTGATTATCCCCAATTGTGTTCTCCTTCACTACAATATTATAAACTTACTATGCATTTAGCTTATTATATACATCTACTATTTTAGTGACTTAAAACCCAGATACTTTAAGTTAAACTGTTTCATAAGAAAACGTAGCCTAAATTATAAAATATTCTCTTCAAGTATACTTCATGAAAAAATAATCAATACTCATGCTTACTGAAGAATAACTTCTAGACTGATTTCTTAACATTCTATTTAGAGACTGTATTTTACAGAAACATTCAATGAATTGACTATTATTAATGCTAATTCTAAGCTAATAGTTGACTTAAAAGGAATTACCATCATTTTAATTTTGATTTGAAGTCTTTAACGTTTTTTTATGTTTGCAATAAAACTTTTAACTTTTAAATGAGATAAAGTTAAGGCTTTTGACTTCACAGTTGATCTGGATCTTTTATCGCACACGTAATAATAAATGTAGAAGACGACAACCAGTATAGCAAAAGCACTAGGTTTCAGCATACACAAATGTGAAAGCACGATTTTCTGAGACAACACAACATGCACCAGTCGAGTCACACATGACGGGGAAGCTTTGGGGGACGTAGAATTTTTTATATATCTAGACAGCATCATTGATGAACATGGTGGATTTGATGCAGATGTGAAAGCGCGGATCGATGAAGCAAGAGCAGCATATCTACAATTGAATAACATCTGGAACTTCAAATAACTGCCAACCAACACCGAAATCAGAATTTTCAATACAGATATCAAGAGTTTTACTGTATGAGGTGGAAACTTGCAGAACTACGAAAGTCATCATCTAGAAGATACAAGTGTTTATTGACAGTTGCATACACAAAGTACCTCGGATCCGTTGGCTTGACACTATCTGCAACAATCTGCTGTGGTAGACAACAAATCAGATCCCAGCAGAGGAAGAAATCAGGACGAAGAAGCACTGGAAGTGGATAAGACAATATTGAGGAAAGCACCGAACTGCGTCATAAGGCAAGCACTCACTTAGAATCCTCTAGGCCTCAAGGAGAAGAGGAAGACCAAAGAACACATTAGGCGGAAAAGTAGAGACAGACAATTTTAGTGATGAATAAGACATTTACAATTAAACAATATTACTTCCAAATTAAAATCATTCTACAATAAATTCACACATAACAAGACTGTTAATTTTGATGTAGGAGGAAACAATCAAATCAGCTATAACTAAATTCACAATACTACTCATTCACACTAAACTTTAATATAAATATACTTCAAGGTTATATACATGAACTAATTTCATGTGAAATGAATAAAAAATTCATATAAATTAGATATAATAAACATGAAAGTGTTAATAAGTGTTCGAATTGTTTTCAGTCATATAATAAACAATTAAGAAAGAGAATACTCAACTAGTGTTAATGATCTAGATAAAATCAT